AAATTTTATTATTGGCTGATTGTTTATAAATGTTGTAGTTGTTGTTGTTGTAGAGTTTATGTCTGTCTTTAACTTAATTTCTGCCCTTTTATGTATTAAAATACAATTTTCACAAAAGCAGAACAAACAAAGAGACAATAACAAAAACAAAAATAATAAATACAACAAAAATATACTGTAACTGCCAATTATGCATTTTGCATAGAGGCCGCCAGTTAGGGTAAAATGTCTACAATCATTGCATGAGGCTGCATTTTGTTCGGAGTTAGAGGGGTTGTTGGAAATTTTAAATTATGTTATAAAATATATAAATAGAGAGACAATAGACTAGGGAAACAGTGGCACAGGTATTAATGTAAATATCTAATTACCAAATATTTGTATAATTTAGTGATTTAATGAAATATTTTACTACAAATACTAACTGTTGGCTATTTGTGATTGCTTAATTAAGAGCAAACAGACAAGGTTTGGAGGACCTAATATTATGGGGGCAATAAGTATGAAATCATGTATAAATTATATTTTCTAGAGAAACGAAACAAAATTAATATCAAATTGGATAAGAACACAATTGGCTATAAATGCTATTCATAAAAATGAATTAACGTTATTGATAACGACCACTTATTACCAAGTAATGTATGAAATAACTACATTACCTACAATATTTTTTATATTTAATTTTATAAAATGTTATATCTCTGCCTTCAAATCAAAATATTTATTATAATATTTTCAACCTAAAACAGCTCGTTTTAAAATACTGTGCAATGTAATAGATATTGCACGTTAGGTTTGTATATGAATACCCAGCAAAAACTTTTATTAAAAAGTATGTTGAAATACTAAAATTTACTTACAAAATAGCATTTTTAATCATTATTTTGACACGGTGATGATAGTGGAGGTAAGTACTTACCACGCTTGCTTACAAGCGAGAACTTAGGTAACTACTTACAGCGTTTACTATTAGTTATGACATAAAAAATTACATTTTTTTTCGATTTTGTAAAAAAATAACTTTCGAATACAAAATATCAAGTTATTTTTAAGTCGTTACTATACTTATTCTAAGTAATGCTGGCAGTATGTAGTAGTCTTGGAAAAGTAAGTTGTTAAGTAAGTACAAGTCATTATGATGTTTTTGCTGGGTACATACATATATTTATAATCAAATCTAAACTCAATTTTCAATATTTAAAATAAAATGAAAACAATATTCTTTCCTGTGATTGCTGTTGCTGTTGTTACTTTGATCAATCTCACCCACAAAGAACTCAAAAATTGTTAATTTGAAATCAAAGCAAATTTATATAACAAATCAAGCATGCTGTACAAATAACTATGAACCTATGTAGTAAGTATGTACATATACAGATATGGATAGAATTACAGACAATTTATATATAAATACATACATTTACACATACTATACTATTTTAAGCTAGAGTTCTACAGGAGATACAATTCTAGGAATTTTTTTGATAAATAAATACTGGAAACTTAAAACGTTTAAAAATTGCCATTAATTTTCAAAACAAATTAACAGTTAAGAAATTAATGACCAACTAGAACTGAACTAGAACTGTACTAAAACTGAACTAGAACTGAACTAGAACTGAACTAGAACTAAACTAGAACTGAACTAGAACTGAACTAGAACTGAATTAGAACTGAACTAGAACTGAACTAGAACTGAACCAGAACTGAACCAGAACTGAACTAGAACTGAACTAGAACTGAACTAGAACTGAACTAGAACTGAACTAGAACTGAACTAGAACTGAACTAGAACTGAACTAGAACTGAACTAGAACTGAACTAGAACTGAACTAGAACTGAACTAGAACTGAACTAGAACTGAACTAGAACTGAACTAGAACTGAACTAGAACTGAACTAGAACTGAACTAGAACTGAACTAGAACTGAACTAGAACTAGAACTGAACTAGAACTGAACTAGAACTGAACTATAACTGAACTATAACTGAACTAGAACTGAACTAGAACTGAACTAGAACTGAACTAGAACTGAACTAGAACTGAACTAGAACTGAACTAGAACTGAACTAGAACTGAACTAGAACTGAACTAGAACTGAACTAGAACTGAACTAGAACTGAACTAGAACTGAACTAGAACTGAACTAGAACTGAACTAGAACTGAACTAGAACTGAACTAGAACTGAACTAGAACTGAACTAGGACTGAACTAGAACTGAACTAGAACTGAACTAGAACTGAACCAGAACTGAACTAGAACTGAACAAGAACTGAACTAGAACTGAACCAGAACTGAACTAGAACTGAACTATAACTGAACTAAAGTCATATTTTTTTCATATACATATTTAAAACTGAACAAAATTTAAATTATCTGTAGATAAGAAACCCTTAAATATCCTTTCATTCCTTTATACTTACACTCAAATTAATACTAGTTTAACTCGATAATAAATGTAAGAGTTTGTTATTTTTTCATGTACGAGTGCAAACAAAAAAGAAATTTCTGAAAATCTGAAAGAGTTGCTTGGGGTAAGGGAAAATAAGGGCCTATGGACTTTGTATGGGTGCTTGGTCAAATGAAGCCCGATCATTACGCAAATCGGCTTATATGAAATTATGTTTTTCCGATATTTATAGAGATACAAGAACATTCAACATAATTATGAGCTCTGGGGCCCGGTTTCAATAACGTCATTGGATAAAAGCTTGAAAATTGGAAACACAGGCGGACGGACATAGCTAATCGACTCAGAAAATAATGTTGAGACGATTTTAATACTTTAAGGTGGGTGTAGGACCAATGTTTTTCGGTGTTATAAACCTCAGCACAAACGCATAATACCCATTCCATTATAGTGGTGTAGGGTTACTATCCCCGACTATAATTTCCTACATGTTTATGATTTATCTCATTTAAGACTGTCCTCGTATATGAATGTTCAAAATAAAATTTTTTGTTCTATTACATGTACGAGTGAATCTAAAATCATGTGAAAATATATTTAAAAAAAACTTACTTATAAACATGTTTGTAATATAAAATCGAAAATCAAATCTATTGCCACTCGACTCAATAACAATAGCAACAGCAACAATATAAACAGTAACAATAAATATTGCAATTGTTTGTAGATATGCATTAGAGTGGACCTTAAAAACATAAATTTTAAAATAAAATTTTCGATGAAATAGATAGTGAAATGAAAATGACTAAACAATGTCCAGATTCAGCGTTACAATTATAAACTTTTTTTAACACTAAACGTTAAACATTAATTTAAACTAAGTCTTAAGAGCAGGTCTAACATATTGTATATATTATTGCTTTACGTTACCTTGGTTACACACAGAGTAATTGTTATCCATTACAATGAAATACACATACACATGTTTAGTAGTAGAAGCACTTACAAGTGCACATGCATGTAATCCCTGCTACTTAGAAACATTAGAAACTTAAAGAATGGTTGGAGAAGCAAACTGTACAAATGTACGCTGTGTATGGGTAATATGGGTCAAACTAATGAAGACATTCCAATGTAAATTTGTTCAAAGTAGTATTTGTTTAATAATAAACAGTTCTTGTAAATTGTTTTTGGTTAAACTGTATGTGTGTTCATACCTTCAAACACAAACATGGATACATGTATCCAAATATGTATTAATAACAATGGATCAATGCTGAAAAATGAAAGGAGTTAAGAATGTTTTTCACATGAATTACTTTAGTTAATATTAGTATTTAAATCTTCTAAAACAAATAGAGCATAAGGGTAAACTTATTTGCAAAGAAACATTCTAGTCTAATGTAAATATCAAAAAACTTATATCAACTGAAGACCAATTGTTAGAGAAGATGGACAAAGCTTTAGATAGACAAACCCTTAACGTAGTATTAGATAAGTTTTAATTAATAGCAAATTAACTTTATTTTATTATTTATATGTAATTAACTAGCAAACAAAGTAGAATAGTTTATTCAAATTGCTGTTGTTGTTTGAAACTAAAACGAAAACCTAGAAACTATATAATTTTGCATTCACTAGTCAATTGCAAGTACCTAAAAAAGCGTGGCGCTAAAGAGGTCAAACAGCGGATACAAGTGACGTCTATAGCTGTCATATTATAAATCGGATTATAGTAAACTTTTTTCAATCTTTCAACATTATTTTAACAATTAACACGTCCCATAGGGTACAAATAGCAGCTTGGAGGCGGTAGCTTAAGACGGCTGATAATACGATAGAGCGCAAAAGTTCGATTGTTTAATGAGTTATGTGATAATCCCTGGTTATATCAGTAATAATCCATAATTATGGATCTGCAGCACTCGCCATAGTTCATATAAAAACAGATTTCTAATGGTGATCACAGATTTTAAATATTTTTCCTCTTGGACCACTGTTTAAGTAAATACTATATATCCATCACTCTACTTTCTATATTCAAAATATTTCTTGGTCATTTTTTGGAGGGGACTTTGTATGGGAGCTAGTGTCAAATGAGGCGCCAACATAATTATGAGCTCAAAAGCCCTTTTCGGGGGGTTCTGTTGTATGGCGGCTAGGAGTAATAACAAACCGATTTTGAACATTTTCAATAGACATCGTAGACCTTGGGCCAAGCCAAATATCATCAAATTATCTTGAAAATTGTGACATATACTTTGCGCACAAGATTTAAATGAACAGTCAGCCAGACGGGCGGACTCAGAAAACGATACTATGCCGATTGGTAACTTTAAGGTGAGTATAGCACGATTTTTTTGTGTGTTACAAACATCAACACAAACCCACTAATGTGGTGTAGGGTTTAAATACATACAAATACAAATGTATCATGGTAATATGAGGAATTTTTATGGATTTTACTCATATGCATAAAACTGATTTTATGAATCTTTTATGAAAAAGCGGATAAGTATTTTTTCAAATTAGAATTTAAAATGATTTTACATTTTCAATAGAATTAAATGTTTATTTTTTTCAATACTTTCTGTTAAACTACACATAAAGAAATTGTTATTAATAAATTCAAAAGTGGGGTTTCATTAAAAATAAAGTTTACAAAAAAATCGACTTTTTTGGCACTGGTCCTTTAATACTTGAAAAATTCGTCAAAGGTGAGTATCGAGCGGAAAAAATTTTTTTGGAATGACAATTTTAAGATATGTATCTTAGAAAACTTCTAACCGTTAACAGGCTCAACAGTGTACCAATGCCTGTTTCAACACGACGATAGAGTAGAGAGGATGCCGAACCTTTACCCGTATTACACAAGGAAGTCTCACAGCAAGAGGTGCAGGCATACAGCTTAGTACGCTCACCAATAACTATACAACCGGGTTCGCAGTTAACAGCACATCTTCTATCGAGAGACCACATTTTCGGTGAACTGGTGGAGTTTTCGGTACTGGTGGTATAAGAAAAACGTTTGACCTGCCAAAAGAAATATAAGAAAAATTTTTAACTATAGCATAATATGGCTGATTACATATGTGTACATACCATACAAATAAATTCCTCACCCTCACACTTGTGCCTAAAATTGGTAGTATTGGAAACATCTACACAGGCTTCACCATCTTCCATGGTATCGCACTTAAAACATTTCAAATCATTTATACGTTCCTGGGCAGCTTGGGTACGATGTATAGCAGTGGTTAAAGATTGTCCTGCTACTGTGGATTATATGGTAAAATTTTCAATATTGATTTTCGGAAAATTTCTTTGAGCAAAATTTCAACTTACTTGCAAAATGATTGCAGGTTATTAAAATGCATATTAGTTGGAAGAACATTGCTTTAATGTTTTGTTCAATATTTACATGGATGTGCTTTCTTTTAATTAATTTAAATGAAATTTATTGTATTTTAAATAACTTTTTTCATTCTTTTATTTAATTGGATTATTTTGTGAATGAACTTTATACTGTTGCAAATGTCATGTGAAGAAACAGGAGGCAAGGACCTGCGCATTATTGGAATGGAAAGAAATTATAGCAAAATTTCTCCACAGCATTGCCAAAGAAAAATACACTGGCAAAGCTGGCAATGATTTGTTATGGTATTGCCAGTTGTAAGCAATTTCAAAAAATTAAAATAACGGAAAATGTTTTTATTAGAAATATACAAATTATATTTTTAACAAAATAAAGTTTCAGCACAATCTTAAGTATTGTAAAGCTTGGCGGCTATGTAGAGGATACAATTCCCCCACATTGTGCATTAAATCCACAATATGGGTGGGTCTTAGTAAACGCCAGGGCATAAAGTTTAGGGTGTTTTTATCACAATGAACATCTTGCTCTAATTCCACAGGTAGTGGTAATTCATTAAACAATATACGACCATCTACACTGCGCTGCAGGGTACAGGGTAAACCGATCTGATCAGCCAAAGTTTTAAAGAGTATAGCTCGTTCAAATTGACAACCACTGCGTATACGTCCCAAAGGTATAAAGGAACAATGCAATTCCATGCACAATTCTTTCAAATGGCAATTGACCTTTTGATATGAACACTCCTCAGTAGTATTTAAATCTAAAGTCTCCAAATCATTGCCTAGAGCTTCAGCCACAACTTGGGCTATGATTTTGACCCTTTTAGTTATATTATCGAAATCAATGGTTTTCTTTGATTTCAAGGGATTTACAGCTAAATTTTCTAACTCCAACATATTATTGACCTGGGCCAAATACTTGGGTAAAAATTCATCTCCCGGTGAACGACAATAACACCATTCTTTACTTTCCGAACCACGACTTAATTCATCATTTTGATGACAATTTACGGGAACTTTAACAACTAGATTGTCTGGCGATGTAATTCTTGAAAAATTTACCACAATCACCGGATGTAAAGGCGAAACTTCTTCTTTTAAAATACATTGTAAAATACGAAAATCATCGAATTTCTTTTTCGAAACCATGAAATCTGAGCCCCCCGTAATATCGGTGAAACCCAAAGTATTGCGTATACAAAACTTAAGAGTAGGACTTTTAGAGAGAATGCTCTCTATGGCTGGAGTCCAGGTGGGTACACAATAAGCATGTTTCTGATGGAGTATAAGACTAAAAGAAAGTAATTGTAAATGAAATACAATAATTTGCACAAATCTTGCTTACACCTCTAATACACCCGATTCAATATATGCTGCTAGAAGTATAGGAAATCTTGTGGTTTGCATGATAAAATTCGTAGCAGCTGTTTTAAGCTGATTAGAAAGAGATTGCAAAGCTCTTTTTATAGAGGAACATAAATAGGTTTCAAGCAGTAGCTGATGTATGACTTCTTCATCCACTATGCTGCACAAACAGCGGAACAAGTTTGTCACCAAAATGGCAGACGAAAAAGAATTCTGTAATTTATATATATTACTAAAAGTTTAACCCTTTCCTTAAACTAAAGCGCTTACCATTAACAACAAACCTATATTGGAAATCAAAGAACTATTTGCACAAATCTCTTGGCGATAATCGGCATTAACGGTAATCATTTCAATTATATTCAATAAAGATAAAAGCAAATCTATAGAACGTTCTTCGGGGGCTTGAGCAAAAACATCGGACAAAATGTTGGAAAATTTTAAATCCAAAATCAAGCTAACGGATTTATGAAAGGCGTAAGACAGTAAATTTTCCAATAAATTAGCTGCTTGTTCTCTAGTTTTTATATTGATTTCTTTATCGTTTAGAAGCTCTGGAATTAAACAATTATTATTCCTCTGCTTTCATAAATAATTTCCAAAAATTACTTAATATTTTGTTTAATAAATCCTGATCATAAGCCTCAATAATTCTTTTGGAAGCCAAAGGAGATTTCATCAAACGATTTAAGCCCAACAAAATATGAGCAGCGGCATTATTATCCTCATTAAGCAAACATTCTAATAATTTTTCCGTTAAACCGCTAGAAACCAAGCGTGGTATAAATTTAACACATTTAGCACATTCCGCCAAGACCCACAAGGCTTTACATACGATTTCCAACTCTATAGAACCATCAGTAATACGCAAGTAAAATTTATCAAATAGATTTAATTCAAAGAATAGCGAAATCATCAGTTCTTGCTCCAAAGTTGCTGCCAAAACCTCCACTAAAATATGTAATTCTTCTGGTAGCAAACTTTCACAAAACATAATCGTTAATTGCTCTAATAATAAAGAACACCAGGGTTCTTGATTTAAGACATTATTTGAACCAGTTTCTGTTACTAAAGATTGTAAGACCTTTAAAACGGATTTTCTTATATCGAAATATTCACAATTTAATTCACACAATAAACGTTTAAGGGGGAATGAATTTAAGGTAATAAAATTCCTTTTTTCTTCATTATCAAGCACCAACAATATTTTCTTCATTAATTCCATAGAATGCAAAAGAACATCTGGATTTGTTGAATTGGCCACAGTAGAGAAATATTTTGATACAAATTCATTATCATTGAGTACCATTTCCACTACTTGAGGATCATCTAAACACTTATTCAGTATGACACTTAAATATTCACAACAGAAATCATCAGCTTCTTCTAGGTAAAATATTAAGCACAATTGAACAATTTCACGTATTTTAGAAGTATCTAATTCCAACAAACAATTTATATTTTCCATAATAAAACTGGTCAAATATAAGGATAATCTTTTAACCAAAATATTCTTATTTTGGCGATATAATCCTTTCTGTAGCAAAAAATTCAAAAGATTTTTCTCTTTAAGTAATATTACGTTTTCTTCATTTCTGCGTACATATTCCATGATATGTTTGAGACTATTAATTAAGACCATTTCTTCCTGCGAGTCTAGAAGTAAGAGCACACTATCAATTGTTTCTAAACGTATGGTTAACTCGGGAAATTTTTCATTTTCCTCTATTCGACGATCAACGAATTCATTTTTATTGAGATTTATTAATTTTTTGTCTATTTTCGACATTTTTAGATTTTTTTTATTTCTTGTTTATTTATTAATTTTCTTTGTTTAATGTCAGATATAAGTAATAATAATAAGCAATAAGTATTTGTTTGATTAATAGGAGTTATAACATTTCAAGAAATATTGGTTATAGAACGATCACAGATACAGTAAATGATATTTCCAAAGAATACGTTGTGTGCCAAAATATCCTGCGATATTCTTCGAAAACACTTTCCTAGTTTTTCATCAAAAATGATCAATATACGTCAAAATTAAGTTTGTAGTGAACTCATTTCCATAAAAATTTAGGCGGTTTAGTTTGGTGCGTCAAAGGGTTAACGGATAAATACTTTTTATGTTAATTTCGTTCTTACAAATTTCAGGTTAGATGAAATAAACATTTGTTAAAACATTTAAGGAAACCACCATAATAAGTTTTATAACCACCATAATAATGATCAACAACCTCCATTTAAACTTAATTAATTAATTAATTAATCAAACTAACAACAAAATGTTAAAACGATTATGAAACATATTAATTGCGTTTTAAACGTTTATAATCAAGTTCAATGTTTAGTTCTATTAAAATTTTAATTGAATCAGAGTTGGATATTTTAGCGCTAAAAAATAATTTTGTGTATATAGAACTAGTCTACTGACTAGTCTATGGACTAGTGCATGAACTAGTCTAGTTTATGAACTAGTCTAGTCCATTAACTAGTCCATGAATTAGTCTATGGACTAGTCCATGAAGCCTACTGACAAGTCCATCGACTAGTCAATGACTATGACTAGTCTATGAGTAGTCTATGGATTAGTCTATAACTAGTCCATGGACTAGTCTATGACTAGTCTATCGAGTAGGCTATGACTATGGACTAGTCTATGACTAGTATATGGACTAGTCTACTGGCTTGTCTATGGACTAGTTTATGAACTAGTCTATGGACTAGTCCATGAACCAGTCTACTGAATAGTCTATGGAATAGTCCATGAACCAGTCTACTGACTATTCTATAGACTAGTCTATGTACTTGTCCATGAACTAGTATATGGACTAGTCAATGTAGTAGTCTATGGACTAGTCTACTGATTAGTCTATGTATTAGTCTACTGACTTGTCTATGGACTGGTCCATGAACTAGTATATGGACTAGTACATGAATTAGTCTATTGACTAGTTCATGAACTAGTCTATGAACCAGTCTAATGACTAGTCTATGGACTAGTCCATGAACTCGTCCATGAACCGGTCTATGGACTACTACATGATCTAGTCTATGGATTAGTCTACAGACAAGACTACAGAATAGTATATACGTTAGTCTATTAACAAGTCTATGAATTAGTCCATGAACCAGTCTAAACTAGTAAATGGACTAATTTTTTTTAGTATTTTAGTCAATGGGCTAACTATTCTATGAACTAGTTCACTGACTAGTCTACGGATTAGTCTACTGACTAGTATCGGGCTAGTTTGTTGACTAGTCTTACCCGTTTTATATTTTAAAAAGTGCCTCATCCAACGCTTCACTTTAGAAAAAGGTATCGTAAATTAGGCAGATTAATTATTGGGCACCCAAAATTAATACACAATACAAAAGTTTTCAGAATCAAAATAAATATTAGTTCTAGAACATATTGCTAAAATTCCAGATTTCGATTTTCTGATAAAATCTGCCCGTTTCTGCAATTCAAAACAATCGCTTGTTTAGGCAATAAAAAGGGTAACAAAATAGAATAATAGAAGTGCAAGCAGCATGAATATTTGAAACGATTAACTCGATCAAATTTGTTTAATCTAAAATTTCTGCACATTTAGATTAACATTTAAGGGTTTGGAGAGAGCAGTTAAAAATATATTAACTTTTTTTGGTCCATTATTCTATTATTATTTTATTATGATCTTTCCAATTGTTCCAAAAGGCGTTTTAAAAAAGCCCTCATAAATAAAAATTAAGACACTTTTAGTAATATAATATTTCTTTTTTCAACCCATTTAAAAAATTTAGCGTTAATTACCAAATAAACACACAAATTTGTTAATTAAATTATGAACTTTTTTTTTTGTTGTCATTCATATTTAATCTCGTTAAACATTGTTAATTTAGAAAAGGTACAACAACATGGTAATTGTTAATTAAAACCGGAAACTATTGTTTAATAATAAATTGCGTGTCGTTAACAAGTAAACAATGTAAACTGCCGTATAAATACTTTATAATGCAATAAAATGTAAATGTAAACAAGCTTTAAGTCACAGTGGAAATTTTACTCTAAACAAATGATGAACAACATAATAAGAAAGGCATTGTTGTCGCTAATTGCACTCCTGGGACTATTTAGAATTTGTCAGTGTATGGTAAGTGTGAGTGAGTTTTCTTTATCCTGCAAAGAGGTCTTAAAAAATAAAAATATTTTTTATTTAGGCAGGCCAAGACTATGTGGTAACCAATGACCAATTAATACCCCTAGAGGTGGAGGGCATGATTATTGATTTTAGTCATTTGGAAACCATAGGGCGTCAACATTTAGTCAATGGTTCTTTGATAATACTGGATGACTTGGATGATGATAACTTTGGATTTACCGTTGAAATGTATACCAGTCCCAATGGTGATGGTGATTATAAAAAAATGGCCATGGATGTACCAAGGACCCAAGTTTGTGAGGGTTTTAAAAAATTCTACAAGGAATTCGTTCAGCCCTCTTTTACGTATGGCGAAAACAGTAATATTCCCTATATTGATGACGATGGTTTGTGTCCTATACCGGCCGGGGAATATTATATTAAGGAAATTGAATTCAATACAGATGCTTGGCCCAATCAAATGCCTCGAGGCACTTTAAAAGTGGTAGTAACATTTTTTAAGGGAGACGATGTGGTAGGTGGTCTAACGGCTTTGTTAAAAATTGAAGATGATACTAGATAAACTGACAGTAATAAATGTGGGGCAATTTTTTGGAATTGAAAACAAACTGAAATTAAAGAAATGTGTGTAAAAAAAATAAATAAATTATCACGATAGGGGCCAGGAATTGGAATAAATATAATTATTCTGGACAATATCAGGTTTTATTTATAAATATCTAAATTTGGGGTAAATATGTTTTCTCGTTATGAACTAAATATCACAAATTTGAACTTTACAGGGACACTACTAACAACTCATTTAATGTGTATATGTTTGAATCGTTCTTTATCGTTCGCGAGCAAACATTACTCTTTTTTCTTCCAAGTAAGTAAGTAGTTAGTTATTAAAAATTATATAATATTTACCATAATCATGAAATAACAAACATTGAAACAAATTTCTCAATTGTCACTTTACTCGCGAATATTCCAAGAATTTGAAACTTTAAAGAATTATACTTTTAGGCAGGTTTATTGCTTGTAAAATGCTGTGATGTATGCAACAAATTATTTTTATGCAAAGAATTAATATTTATTTGATCAACATCAATCAGCTGGGGATAACTCGTAATTTATTGATGTCTCAAAATTCATAAATTTATTTGTTAATAATTAATTTCTTTTTAGGTTTTTTTAGGGATTTCTTTTAATTATAATAGCACTTGCTGAATATTTTAAATTTTGTTAAATTTCGTTTAGGTATATAATATCTTTTATAAATAATTTTTAGCAATTTTAAATCTAAATGTTATTTTTTTAAGATTTTGAAGCATTTCGTTTTTTGGCACGTTAAACTTTTGTTTCTTTAGAATTTCAACAAATACAAGATTTGTTAATGGTCAGGGTTTGTGATAACATTATCCGGCTGCTGTTGCTTCAACTCTAATATACCATCTTCCGAATTTTCCATAAAACATTGTTGGCAGCCATCGGCCTTGGTACAATTTAGATCGTTGCATACACAATATGTCACATTACAATTTGTTGGGATTTTAGCATCTATTCGTAATTTTGGCATCATGTCATTTTGTTTATTATCCAATATATGGCAACAATTCTCATGGCAACTGTTGAGGGCCTCTTGTTGCGACTTCAATTCCATTGCTCGTTCAATATCACTAGTAGTTTCAGCATTACCGCCATCAACAGCCTCATCATCGTCTTCTTCGTAAGCACTCAAATGAAATGAATATTCCGAATTACTATCATCTGAATTTTCACAATCAAAATAGCCAATCTGTAAAGGGAATATCAAAATTATTTCTTTATATTATTCCTGTTTTATCTATAACTTACCTGGCAATCCATACAACGACAATTGTCACATAAACTGCAAGAATATTCTAATAATTCGGATAAATCTTGATGATTTTGATTATCGTTCTCATAAGATTTAGACCAATATTTTGATTTATGTTTAAGGCTAAAAGTTTACAAAGTTAATAATCATTTTAAAGCCAAACCCTAAATACAACTCTACCTCTTTCCTGCTGGCTTCTTCTGTTCACCCTCCTCATTTTCAATTCCTCGTTGATTATTCTTCTCGTTGGCTTCGCCTTCTAAATATTTCCAAAATTTTGATTTTTTCTTTAATAATTCCGATTTTGATTTAAACGTTTTCGATTCAATTCCACTATAATTTCCATGATTTAATTTTAAACTATTACTGCTGCAATTAAAGAGCTTCTGTATGGCATGGGCAGCAGGGGAACACATGGTGGAAGAGGCGGACGACCAAACCGACGATGTTGCCGTAGTAGAGGATGTTGCAGATGATGAGGAGGACGTAAACGAAGTTGGTGATGATACAACATTATTATCATTTAAATCCGAATAATAAAGTTTCGGATTATTTGGCAAAATCTATAGAAATAATCAAATGATAAATGAAGGCAATAAATTCTTGCTCGCACATACGTGGATACATTTTTTTTTTTTAATAATCATACACAAAAAGGGGTTTGTACACCATTTCCATTGTAATTGTGTTCATTTTGATTTGCAATCAAATGTTATAAAATATTTTTATATAAAGATTTCAAAATATCTAATAAAAAATTGGATTGCAAGTAGTCCTAGAAGTCGGCCAAAAAATTATTTTCAACCTTATAATATAAATCGGATCGGTCTTTTAAAACAAGCCACTATCCGAAATAGGCACGTCAAACTACAACTTCATGTTGTTTTTCAGCATTATTATTATTACCTACTTTTCGTCTAGTGTAGTCTGTAGTCTAGTCTATAGTCTAGTCTATAGTCTAGTCTATAGTCTAGTCTATAGTCTAGTCTATAGTCTAGTCTATAGTCTAGTCTATAGTCTAGTCTATAGTCTAGTCTATAGTCTAGTCTATAGTCTAGTCTATAGTCTAGTCTATAGTCTAGTCTATAGTCTAGTCTATAGTCTAGTCTATAGTCTAGTCTATAGTCTAGTCTATAGTCTAGTCTAGTCTATAGTCTAGTCTATAGTCTAGTCTATAATCTAGTCTATAGTCTAGTCTATAGTCTAGTCTATAGTCTAGTCTATAGTCTAGTCTATAGTCTAGTCTATAGTCTAGTCTATAGTCTAGTCTAGTCTAGTCTATAGTCTAGTCTATAGTCTAGTCTATAGTCTAGTCTATAGTCTAGTCTATAGTCTAGTCTATAGTCTAGTCTATAGTCTAGTCTATAGTCTAGTCTATAGTCTAGTCTATAGTCTAGTCATAGTCTAGTCTATAGTCTAGGTCTATAGTCTAGTCTATAGTCTAGTCTATAGTCTAGTCTATCGTCTAGTCTATAGTCTAGTCTATAGTCTAGTCTATAGTCTAGTCTATAGTCTAGTCTATAGTCTAGTCTATAGTAGTCATAGTAGTCTATAGTCTAGCTATAGTTAGTCTATAGACTAGGACTAGACTAGACTAGACTATAGACTAGACTATAGTCTATAGTCTAGTCTATAGTCTTAGGTCGCCCTAATAGTGGATGATAACATCTCGTAGATAGACCCATCTTTGGAAATTTGAACAATACCTAATAATTTTAAGTAACTTCTTGCGGCATCATCTCTAAAGTTTGGAAATCCGAAAATTTTCAGTTTTATGAGAATCTTTCGAAAATATTTCTAAAACTTAAATGTCGTCTTCTGAAATTCAATATTTTTATTTAATTTCTTTTGCAACATGACCAGGAATTTTAAAAATCCAAACGTTTTAAATTTAATTTTTCCGTTTATATCTTTTTAGAAAAATATTCTAGAGTCTCCATTAAAACTAAAAATTATCTGAAGTCAAACTTTATATAAAAATTTTAAAAATCACTCGGGAATGACAAATAGTTGTCGTAGCAAAGCATTAGCCAGAACTTTAAAATTGAGTAGAACTTCCTGTACAATGGAAATGGTGTAACAACTATGTAGTTGTATTGCGAAAATTTAAGAATTGCTTGACAAAGACGACAGAAGAGTGAGTTCAGTTGACTTACATTATTGGTTGTTGCTGTATTCAAAATGAATATTGAATTTTGATTGTTATTATTATGATTGTTGTTGTTGTTGAAGCTGTAGTTGTTGCTGTTACTGGTGCTGATGTTAAAATGCTGATTCTGCTGTTGATACTGATGCTTGTATTTAAATAACGTTGAATCCATTGTTGGTTGTTGTTTGATGATTTGTTTCTTTTTCTTAACAAAAGGAGACGAACAGAATGAACGAATAATAAAAGAAGAAGGTTACTTTACATACAGAACGTGTTTCGTGGTGTAACAACCAACAAAAGACGAGAGGTATAAATTTCACTTTTTATTTCATTTTATTTCTTTTTGATTCCATTTTATTATTATTGTATTTTAGTTTGATTTGGTTTCAATGGGTTGATACGGTTTGGTTTGATTGGAGTAGAGGGTTTTTTTTTTAAATTTTAGGCTTAAACAACTAATTTATTGTTTTGTATTGTATGTTTTTATTGTGCTGCTTTTGTAGCGTTGAAAGGGTTTATTGTAGAGCTTCCTTGAACCGATTCACTGAAGCATGGAAGAAAAGTCTTTTGTATTTTTTCTTTTCTGATGATACTTTGGAGGAGCACAAGTAAAGAAACACACAACACAGATAGTATTGAAGTCTAGCGAAACGAAAATATGCTCTAGGGATTGTAAGATTTATTTAGTTATAGTCTATGATGATTTGTTTTATTTAACATTTTCACTTTTATTTTCGATAATTCTTTTAGTATTTTTTTTTTCTGCTTTTTTGCACTTCTTTTTTATTTAGGTTTTTAGGTGAAGAGATGAAAACATTTTTGGGTTTCGGTTATACGTTTTTCGTTTATTTTTGCAGTCATAGACAAAAAAAACAGCAGCAACATGAAAATGAAAGTAAAAACGACACAGTAAAGGGTCTTTGTGATAATTCGCTTACAAGGCCATATTTAGATGTTGAAACATTTTAGTGGTTGGCTGTTAAATACAAAAATGATGACGTCTAAAACACCATTAACACAAACACTCACAGTTAAGCGCTCACACACATAGGTCGTTTGGGTTTAAGGATTATGGCTCCTGTTACACGTAAGTAAGTTTCTTGCAAACTTTATCAGCACATTGTTAAAGTAACTAAGTTTTTTTAGTTATTAATTTATTTTATTTTTATTATTTATTATTTTACTTTTCAAATTTTTATTATAAATTATTAAAAGTTTTATTGCTTTTTTAAGAAATATTGTTGTTGTTTTTTTTTAAATCTGAAGCATATGTTTGTGATTTGTTGTCATAAAATATAAATAACAAACACCAAGAAAAGCATCCAAATCCTGTCGTTTTGTTTTAATGTTTCAAATGTCAGTTTCTTACAGTTTCTTCTATTTTATTAAACCATAAATCACTTGACGTCTAAATCCCCTCTTTACTTACAGGGATTTGTAGCTTTTAGCAATAAAAATAAAAAAAATTAAGAAACAGACACACTCATACACTTGCTCCTACACACACACTCACTAATACACATTTGGGTAAAGGGAAACGGAACCAAAAACCCAAAAACTCACGATTTAAAGTGAAAAATTTATTTCGAAATTTGAGTATGAATTTTGTTTTGAAGGAATTTGGCATAATATTTTTATCCGTGTGTTTGGTAGTGAAACGTTTTGTTGCTCTTGCCTCAGGAGGATGACTGAATTGAATATTGTGCGTGACAAATACTTTTCAATGTTTATGTTGTTGTTGGTGCTTCTGTTTTTTTCAGTTCAGTTTATTTCGGAATTTGTGATTTTGTAAATTGAGAATAAATGTATGAACGAATATGAGTATAAGTATGAGTTTGTATTTATATTGTAGTAGTAGTTGCTGTTGTTGTTGTTGTACCTACAACAAATACAGTAAATATTGGCCAAAAGCACTACAACAGCAACAATTACAAAAAAGTATGCTAAAAGCTGATGTTGACTTGGTTTTCTTTGATGCTCATTTCATGTTAGTATGTGTGTCTCTCTCTCTTTTTGTATTTGTATGTTTATGTTATTGTGAGTGTAAGTGCTGTGTATCTTCGTTTTAGGCGAAGTATGTATAGAATTTCAAGAGTTTCAATTTCCTTTTTGGCTTAAAATACGAATACAACTCAAATAAATTCATGGCACTAGGCCAGTGGCACACCAACAACAATAACAGAACACATGCATACACACATATAGCAATACATTCTCAAACAGTATCCGCCAGCATCAGTAACAACAACTAAGTACTTGATTAACAGTCATACACCATAGCAAAAGAAAGGATATTTTCCTATATCTCTATAGGTCTTAATTAACAATGCATTGTGGTTTTAATAAATGATTTGTATGGGGATAAAAACTCTCGACTTCAAGAAGTCAAAATTGGGAATTAACTCTCCAAATAAAGAGGCGCAAATATCACACGACTTGGGCAAACAAATCGGCTCAAAGAAAAAAATATAAAGAGGTCAAACGCATGTACGAGGCCAAAGTTCATAGCGTCAAGATAATGCTAGAAACTCCCCGTTTTCCTTTAATGGATCTAAAATGGTTTCGAACTTAAGTTCGAATCTTCGTATTTAAGTTTGAATTTGTGGCCTGCGGTAGCTTAGTGGTTAGTGTTCTAGTCTGGTAGACCGGAGGTGGTGGGTTCAATTCCCACCTGAGGTACTGGCTAAGGAGCGCACAACAGGCCCAATAGGGGCCTAGGTGTATTTCTTTGGATTTGATGTATATACATCCTCTTTCATAATATGACTCGGAGATTACTTTCGGAGCATAAAAACTCAGATAATGTCGAGTTTATAAGGGCAACCACTATTTTCAAGAATTTTAAACACAATTCGGAGAAATGATTTCCAACGCTTTGAACCTCTACTGTTGTTTATCCTTTTCAAAAACAGAATAAATTCTATCATTGATAAAAATGCGCATATTCAAACTCTCTTCATGCTAACTTTATGATTGTTGTAGTTGCTGCCGCCGCTGTTGTTGTTGCTATTGTTGTCTATATTTTCGTTTATTTTCATATTATTTTTCTAGAGCATCATCACTTCGGTTGCCTTCATCATCAACATCATTCTCGTCGTTGTCGTCGTCGTCGTCGACATCATCATCATCATCAACAACATCTCATTCATCATCAATACCAACAACGAAACAAAAAAAATATGTTTTTTATGTTGTTGTTAGGATTTTCGTTTATATTGTTGTTATTTTAGTAAAATTGAGTTTATTTAGAACACACATATGCACACAAACACAAATAAAATTTAATGGAAATTTGCTCTCATTGTTGTGGAGCGTTAAACACGTGAAATTTGAACTTCTTTTGCAGGATGCTGGTGCTACTAATACTACTATGTACTACTGCTATTATGTGTGGTTGGCTCTGTTACCTATTACCACTTTATCTGTTTAGATTGTTTTTATGCTCTTCGTCCCTGTTTTTTTGTTGTTTGCTACTGCTCCAGCTACTGTTTAAGTTCAAGTTCTTTTTCATTTAATTTTGCTATATTTTTTCTCTTTACGTGTAATTTCCCTATCAAACGATTTCAATTCGTTTCCATTCAATGAAAAACCATCAAACACATAAATAAAGAAAAGCTGTATGAGAAAATAAAGAAAATATTTGTTTGATTGTTTGTTGAGGCGATTTGTAAGCGAATTGTATGTTTGTACGTGTTTAATATTCTAAATTGAATTTCTAGCACCTTGTGGCGACGTCTACACATCTTCCCATGACTTAATATCATACAGCAGGATTTCAAAATTGTTTTTTTTTTCTTTTTGCAAAAGAATAAATATTTTTGTTGATGTTGCTGTAATAACAACTTTTAACCATTAATTATTCACGTTTTTTTGAAGACGTGTTTCATTTATACGAGTTTGTTTGTGGATATTTTTCTGAAAGGAATTTCTTCTAATTCCTTTCACTTATTCTCTCAACCATAAGAAGAATTGAAAAAAAAAACAAAGAATAAAAAAATAAACAATATTGTTTAATTGTCTTCTATTTTATGTTGTTTAATCTAGTTGAAGTACACACTCGTATAAGTATGAATATTTGCCAAAGTATTTATAATAAATTTTCTTGTGTGTGTGGGTAAGTGAGTTCTCCTCATACTCCCAATGTCACCCACTAAGAATGTACCGCCACCGCATAGGCACTACTTTAGACGCTGTAGTTGCCGTTTTTTTTGTCTTTGGCGTCATTTAATATTAAAACATGTTGTTTAAGTTAAGAACTTTTTGACATCTACATTGTGTAGGTATATGTGGGTGTATATGAGTGTGTATTTGTTAGGTCGGCCCCTATTTATAAAGAGCCAAATTATGCAGAATTTAGGATATAAAATTTCATCTATTTACGGGTATTTATAAACGTTAAAGATGGATTATAAAAAAGAGTTTGGGTCCCTTTATGGCCCATTTTCAATACCAAAACTTTGAATAGGTACAAATCGCTACCGTTTTAGGGACAATATTAACTAAGTGGATGAAAATTGTTATTGAAAAATTAGCGCAGATATAGAACGAACGAAAATCGAATAGTTAAATGGGGTTTAGAAAACCTTCAGCTCAGTTAGTTACATTAAACTTACTCAAGATCCCAAGATCTCGGTATGGATTAATGTATAAGAAAATCTTTGCACCACAGAACCGAACCAGAACTACAAAGTAAGGAGAGAAACTTAAATGTCCTTTTTTTAAAAAGAAATTATTCTTTAGTTCAAAAAGGGAAATTTTTTTCTTTTTTGAGGCCACTCTAATATATATGGGTATTTATAGTTAAGGACTGAGATCAGACATGCTTAAGACATGTAATTAATTTCATAATGAAACACTTTTTTTGGAAGAAGGAATGAGAAAATAGAAAAAATCCCACATGTTTAAGAAGAAAATGTGTGTGTGTGTTTTTTGCAATGACAAAAGCAAATTAAATTTTATTACAACCATAAATGAATACTTTGGATTCCAAAGACACAAAAAATGCTCGAAGTGAAAATCAGGTCAATATTACTTTAGTAATCTTTAAATTTCAAGGACTCTAATAAATTCAAAAAGTTTGGAATCGATCGAAATCTTCTTTGAAATGCTATTGAAATTTTGATCGATACTTAAACGAATACTTTGGATTCCAAAGACATTATAACGCCACTAATCTTTGTATTTCAAGGACTCTAATAAATCCAAAAAGTCTAAGAACAAGTTGCAACTGATTGAAATCTTCCGAACGACGGAGCATGATTTGCAGTAAAACCTTTAAACGAATACATACTTTGGGTTCCAAAGTATTGAGATTTCGATCGATATAGAACGCCGGAGTATGATCCGCAGTATAACCCTTAAACGCTATCAGATGTGAAAGAACTCTCTTTCCCTAGTTTACCTCCTGGAATTCCTTAAAAATTAATAAGAATATGTATACAAATTTATGTGATTATACACATACACATAGAGCAAGATAACAGTTAGTATGGGTGGCTGGGTGTTTGTGTATATGTGAGTACATTTACAGTTATATACACACACTTATATGAATATACTACATGTAAAGATACATATACACTAACTTAAATGATGTTAAAATGGCAATTTCGTGTTATGACTTTGTAAAACATTATTTCAACTAACAAATACTCACATAAACACACACATTTTCACGCACTCTCTTACATACATATGTATGTATGTATGACATATCTACATAAAATTTCATACATACATACACATATATGGATTTATGCATATGAGTGTAAATGTGGAAAAAATGGCATACAACCACAAACATTTTGTGTGAATTATGATTTTTTAAGACATTTTAAAAGATCAAAGGTCTGTGGGGTACAATATTTAAAACATAAACATTTAACGTACATACATATACATATGAAAATAAAGAAAAACGAACAAGACAAGCCATTAGATATTTCACATAATAGAAACAAAACAGCCTCAACAAGTTCTCACCCGGGATTGTTGCTGTTGTTTTTGTTGCTCTTTGTTGACTTTATTCTTTATTCATCGTCATTATATCGTCATCTTAATACCCGCCTAAAGAGGTGTCTTTTTTTCTGTCTCTTTGGTGAAAATTTTAATCTTGTCATTTCCTCCTTTATGTCAGCCAAAGAATTAAATAGCGACGATGACATCTTCTTCAATTAAACTCAGAGATAAGTCTGGTTTTTTGGTGACATGTTTCATAAGCAAGCAATGTGGCCTGCCACCAGCAAGTGCCACTACCACAACCACAGCGTATATACATACCTACATGATGTGCAACATTTTATTGTGCAAAAAAGTGTTAAATGTATTTTGGTTCTTTTTCCATTTCACTTGTTTGTATTCCTTTAAGGTCATACACGTATTTTATGTTTGCATATGAAGGGTTTTAAGATTTTGTCTCTGCTTATGTGTGTTTAAAATCTTGTAAGGACAACATTATATGGCCTGCAGTCTAATAGCTCCTACAATCATTTTATTACTAGGCTTTAGGTGAAATTATGTACGAAATAGGGGGAAACAATTTGAAGAAATTAAATAATAACAAAATCTGCAGAAATAATAAACCATAAAAATGTGCCTAAAAGTATATGACAGATTTGAAAGTATATGTATGTCTCATTCAAGTTCCAGGGAAATTCTTGGAATATTCACGAATAAAATAAAAACTGAATTTTGTTTAATAAGTGGTTAGTTAGATAGTTATTTAGATAGTTAGATAGTTAGTTAGTTAGCTAGTTAGTTAGTTAGTTAGTTAGTTAGTTAGTTAGTTAGTTAGTTAGTTAGGTAGGTAGGTAGTAGTTAGTTAGTAGTTAGTTAGTTAGTTAGTTAGTTAGTTAGTTAGTTAGTTAGTTAGTTAGTTAGTAGTAGTTAGTTAGTTAGTTAGTAGTTAGTTAGTTAGTTAGTTAGTTAGTTAGTTAGTTAGTTAGTTAGTTAGTTAGTTAGTTAGTTAGTTAGTTAGTTAGTTAGTTAGTTAGTTAGTTAGTTAGTTAGTTAGTTAGTTAGTTAGTTAGTTAGTTAGTTAGTTAGTTAGTTAGTTAGTTAGTTAGTTAGTTAGTTAGTTAGTTAGTTAGTTAGTTAGTTAGTTAGTTAGTTAGTTAGTTAGTTAGTTAGTTAGTTAGTTAGTTAGTTAGTTAGTTAGTTAGTTAGTTAGTTAGTTAGTTAGTAGTTAGTTAGTTAGTTAGTTAGTTAGTTAGTTAGTTAGTTAGTTAGTTAGTTAGTTAGTTAGTTAGTTAGTAGTTAGTTAGTTAGTTAGTTAGTTAGTTAGTTAGTTAGTTAGTTAGTTAGTTAGTAGTTAGTTAGTTAGTTAGTTAGTTAGTTAGTTAGTTAGTTAGTTAGTTAGTTAGTTAGTTAGTTAGTTAGGTTAGTTAGTTAGTTAGTTAGTTAGTTAGTTAGTTAGTTAGTTAGTTAGTTAGTTAGTTAGTTAGTTAGTTAGTTAGTTAGTTAGTTAGTTAGTTAGTTAGTTAGTTAGTTAGTTAGTTAGTTAGTTATTAGTTAGTTAGTTAGTTAGTTAGTTAGTTAGTTAGTTAGTTAGTTAGTTAGTTAGTTAGTTAGTTAGTAGTTAGTTAGTTAGTTAGTTAGTTAGTTAGTTAGTTAGTTAGTTAGTAGTTAGTTAGTTAGTTAGTTAGTTAGTTAGTTAGTTAGTTAGTTAGTTAGTTAGTTAGTAGTTAGTTAGTTAGTTAGTTAGTTAGTTAGTTAGTTAGTTAGTTAGTTAGTTAGTTAGTTAGTTAGTTAGTTAGTTAGTTAGTTAGTTAGTTAGTTAGTTAGTTAGTTAGTTAGTTAGTTAGTTAGTTAGTTAGTTAGTTAGTTAGTTAGTTAGTTAGTTAGTTAGTTAGTTAGTTAGTTAGTTAGTTAGTTAGTTAGTTAGTTAGTTAGTTAGTTAGTTAGTTAGTTAGTTAGTTAGTTAGTTAGTTAGTTAGTTAGTTAGTTAGTTAGTTAGTTAGTTAGCACTTAGTATTTTGTCTATATATTAAACAACCCTCGTAATTTCTACAAAAATGTCCATTTATTAGTGGCAATTCCACAGTTTCCATTGCATTCATTATATCTACAAAGCGGTAATTAAATAAAATTCCAATTAGAAAAAAAAGATTAGATAAGAAAAAAATCAACCAAAACAATTCACCCCTTCGCAATAGTGGGCGTGAGGGCTGTCCGATAACTTTTGAACCAAACAAAAGAACTCTGTTTTTATATATGATTGCACATTAAAAGTTTTCAATAGCTTACAAGACTGGCTGGAATATAAAAATCCAATTTTTCTTTATCAGAAACAAATTCAATAAAATGATAAGATAAAGAAAAGTAAAACGCTTGCACTGTACAAGGGCTAAAACTATATTCATAAGGTGTTTAGTAGCAATTGAACACTAATAGCGAAAACAAATACGGGAAATTTTAAATAAAATGATTTATTAACAACAAAAACAAAACCCCATAAACACAGATAATAAAAAGAAATAAATAAATTGTTCAAAGTTTAAAAAAAGTGAAAAGAAATTCGAATTAACTAAAAAAGATGATGACTAACCATAAATCATGGCTAATAATAGCCGCCCTATTGCTGGTAACACAATTATGCATAGAAATTTCGGCTGAAGCCGTTGAAGCCAGTGATGTCGAACTATTTTGTTATCCGGAATTATATAAAAATACCCGCAAATCGTGTGAATGCATAAGCGAAGGTTCTGCACCCTGGGGTTTACGAGTACTCAATATTGACTGCAGTTTCAAAAGTCTACTAACGGCAGACTTTTCCGAAATTTTGCCTCCATATGCCGATCGCTTGGATTTGACTTGGAATCAATTGGAACGTGTGCCCATGTTGGCCAGTGACAGTTTAACTCTACTAAATTTAATGCACAATAACATTTCCGTAGTACTGGCTAAGAATTTTGTTAAAGTATCGAATCTTCGCGAATTGTATTTGAGTTGGAATAGTATACAAACCATAGAACCATATGCATTTTCCGATCTACCCCATTTGCTAGTGTTGGATTTATCCCATAATAATTTGCACAATTTAGCTTTTCAACTATTTTTACCCCTGCAGTCTTTGGAAACATTAAATTTATCATGGAATCGTCAACTCAATCAAACAGAGGGCATACAAGACTTGGACTTTTATCAAACATATGGTGTTAATAATAAATTGCGTACTTTGAAATTGAAGGCCTGTAATCTGAACAAAATTGTATTGCCAAAGAAGGTGGTTTTAAAAGAATTAGATTTAAGACGCAATTCTTTAACAGAGGTGCCAGAAAATTTGCCTGAAGGTTTAGAGATAATAGATTTAAGTGAAAATCTATTTGTGTCCTTAACGGAATCAGATGCCAAACGTTTGAGACACATACATGAATTATACATGGAAGATATGCCTCGTCTTATATCCATCCAAGAAAACTCTTTAGTGCCTTTGGAATCTTTGGAGAAAGTAAGTTTCCAAAATAGCCGCAGTTTAGTGGAAATGCATGAGTACTCGTTTGGCCAAAATGCCACACGTTCCCCCAAACTACATACCATGATATTTCGTGGTACTGCTATGCGTGGTTTCAATAATACTTTGTCTCCGATATTTTTCCAACTGGCCACCCTGGATCTCAATGGCATGCCGTTACATTGCGATTGTAATTTAGTATGGATTAAGGAGGTGCGTATAGAAACCCATGGACGCTGTTTTAATCCATCCCGTTTGAGGGGAGTAAGTCTTGCCAAGGCCGATCCCAATGATTTCAGCTGTGAACGTTGGCCACGCTGGGTTTATGGCATAATTGTCTTGGCTCTTATTGCTCTTTGTTCGATTTGTATATATTTCATTGTAGTTGGTTTAAGGCCAAATGGTGGTGTCACTATGCGTCGTAAAGTTGGTGCTGGCAGTCCATATGCTCGTGTCACTATAGAGCCCAACCGTCAGGAGCATTATTAATATGTTAAAAGTTATGTTGGTGGAAAACTCTTATGACATAATGTGTATTGAATTAATGTTTATTTTAATTAAACAGATTTTTTGTATATAATAATTTTTATGTATTTTTTTGAACGAAATATTTTTTTATAATAACAGATATAAACGAAATAAAAAGAATTAATTATTTATTAATTAGCATTAAATTATTTTGTTTTTTTTTTTTTTTTTTTTTGTTATTGTTATTTCTAATTTGCATTTAAATTATGTATTTCGTTATGTATTCATTTTAAAATGCTAAAAAGATGGGGAATGATAGAACTTTTTATCAATGAACTGGTCTAGTGACTAGTCTGTCAAATAACCTGTGGACTATTTTATTGCCTAGTCTGTCAGCTAGTATATTGTCTAGACTGGGAACAAGTCTATTAACTAGTATATGGACTAGTCGAATGACTAATCTGTGGACTAGTTTATAAATTAATATGTGGACTAGTTTTTGAACTAGGTTGTTGACTAGTCTGTGGATTAGACAATTGACTACTCTAATGACTAGTTTTGTGATCTAGTTTATGGACTAATCGGTAGACGGACTAGCCTGAAGACTCATTTATGGACTAGTCTGCGAACTTGTGTACTGACTAATCTTTAGAGTAGTTTATTTACAAGTCCCCAGTAAAACTTTCATTACCATGTAAGGTGTTAAAATGCTAAAATTTACTTACACATTAGCATTTTAAGTCATTATTTTAACACGGTGATGTCATTGAAGGCAAGTACTTACCACAAACGATTACAAGTAATTAGAAAAAGGATTCATTGTAAATCGCATGGAGAACGTATACAACTTCTATATCTAAACTGGCAAGATGACTAATGAATTAGGAAGTATTTCTAAAACATAGGGAAGTATTTCTAATAAGACATTATTAGACTACTTCTATGTAATCCAGACGATATGTAGTAGTCATTGAAAAGTATGTTGTTAGGTAAGTAATTACAATTGAAAGCCATTATCCAGTTTTTGCTGGGTCTATTGTCTAGTCTCTGGTTTAGTCTATGAAATTTATTTATTAGTCAGGTCTATGGAGAAGTATACTGATTAGACTATGGACTAGTCTAAATTCTATGAAATAGAACAATAAACTGATTTGTGGGTTGAATGGGGAAAAGCTATCAATAGCCCACGATATTCTATCGTGGGAGATGATATTATTATTGATTCCCGATAGAGTCCTACTTTCAATGGCGATTTCCTTAACAGCATCTTTGGAACCGGGAAAATGAGTATTCAGTAGGATATCAATAGATTCTGCTGATGATTCCGACCAAGTGTCATCTTCCCTTTTAATATAGGTTGGATTAGATTGGTCTTTAGCAAGAATTTGACTGAGTCTAGCAAAGTCCTTTATGAAGTTCTTTTTGCGACCGCTATAGTTTTCCTAATTTGTCACGGTATGGCTGTCATGATTTAATACTGTAGCATGTGTTAAAGGCTCTTTCGTTTCTTTACGTAGTTTATATAGCTCCGAGTTCCACCATGGAGGGAAACTTTTCTTTGCCTTAGTGATTGGGCAGGAAACTTGGAAAGCTTTACTTCCCACTTTGTTTAACTCATCCTCTATTCTTTCAAGACCAGCGATTTAATTTTCAACAGCTGGCATGTTCTTTAGCTTATTTCCGAGGATCCCTTTATACTTGTACCAATCGGTTCTTCTTGGGTTCCTATAAATCGTTTTTTGCGTCAAGTTTTGCATTCTAATATCAAAGAGAATCCAATTGTGGTCTGAGAACGACTTTTTATTGGATACCCTCCACCTATCAAGTGATATATTAGATCTGTCGTTAGTGAGTGTAATATCTTGTGCTTCATCCCATCCACTTTAGTTGTCAGAACTCAGAAAAAGTTTAGTATTAATGAAATTTAATAATGACTCACCCCTTTCATTAATTTCAATGCTGCCGCAGATTGTATGCCTTATGGAGACCATTAACAAATCTACTCTATAGACTTGTTTATGAACTAGCCTATGTATTAATTACTTAGTTCCAATTCCATCTTGTTATTGCAAAAAAAGGATAAACAACTAATTTGCAAAACTAGTTAACTCCAACTTAAGATTTTTAGTTCACATTTGAATAAAAAAGCACTTGATCGGTCCGGCATAAATCGAGTGCTCTTGTTTAACAGTTTTAACAAAAATTCTAAAATTGCAATTAATCTATATAACAAATAAAGCCTCAAAAATTAATTTTCAATTACTAAACAATAGCAAAAAAATTAATTTGTTTATAGAAAATGCTCCGCTTTAAAGTGTAAAACAATATGTTTTTAAAAATCAACACTTTCAAGATCAATTTGAAAAGATCTACAGACACATTTACGCACGCAGCAGCAGATACATATTGACACAGATTCTTCTTTCGAATAATTTTGAATGCATTTCTCTAAAAACAAATGGGATTTTTATGCAATTCGTTTTGTTTATAAACAAAAATTTTGATTTGTTATTCTTTCGTTTAACTAATTGTTCTCTTCTTTAGTTTATATTTATTTAAGTTTTATTTTTTATTTGTTATTCTTGCTGTTTTACTGACTACAATCTCAAATTTTGTTTATATTAAAAAATATTCGAAAAAAAAAATTCAAAAAGAAGAAGAAGAAATGTTAATTTTTAGACGCAAACTCCTAAGAAAATTTCGATATTCGATTGGAAAAACTTTTCACCTCACTAGCGTAATGAATTTGGCCCAAAAAGCTTTATTGAAAATTAGTTTTCAATATTCAAATTTTCACCAAAATATTTCAGTTGCGAGCGGACCTCTGCACGGAGTAGAACAAAAAATAAAAAAAAATCAAATAAAAAATACGATCCAACAGTCCGCGGAAGAAATTTGTGAATAAATATATATCTTTTCTTTATAATTCTATATATATTTAAATTTTTCTACCAATTTTTTTTTTGTCAAATCTAAAAATATATACTAGATATACATACATACAAACTTTCAGTCGTATTCAGATGTATTTTAATATTGAAATCGATTGGGAAAAATAAAAAAAAAAATTAAGAAATATTTAAATAAATTTTAAGTTGAATAAAAAAACCAAAAAAATAAAAAAAATTCATTAAAAAGCTGAAAAATATTAATGTGAAAATTAAAGTGTTTGTCTCAGTTAAAAATAAAAGTTATTTTTGAAAAAATAAAAAATTTAATTTTTTTCTCTCTCTTTTCTTTTAATTTCCCTTTTTAGTTTTTTACTTTATTTTTTCATTCCCCCGTTTATTTTTATTTTTATAATTTTAAAACAACTTTTCGCCGATGAATTTAATTTCGTTGAGATAAAGTGAAATTAAAATTTTAAATTTTTGTTCTTTACTAAAAAAAATTCAATAAAAGAAAAAGCAAAGAAAATCAAATAGAAATCAATTGAGTTAAATTAAATATAAAATGCATTTTCCGCGTTTAAAATCTCTACTGACTTTGGTCATTTGTTCTTTATTTGTGCTGAGTTTTCCCGAAAATGTGAATTGTGCTAACAAGAAAGGTTCAACGAATAGTAATCCAGCTCCCGCTGCACCCCTTGAACCCGAAGCCGTTATCGAAGAAGTCAATGCCAAGCAATTGGAAAAACTTTTGGCTGACAAGGATTATGTAGCGGTATTTTGGTGTAAGTATTTCAATTCATAAAATTCTTAATCTAAATTCAAAATTTTGTATTTAATTGCAAAATATTTTTGAAAAAAATCATTTAAAATGATCTTGCTGTCGCTGTGTCTGCGTGTGTATTTGATTATATAAAGTTTTCTTTAAATAAGAAATGAAAAAAATATAAAAATAAAATAAAAAAAAATCTCAAGTGGAAAATATTCGTATTTTTCGTACTTTTTGCCTTAAAATCATTTCTATTCTGTTCTATTATATTTTTTTTTTGTTTTTGTACGAGTCTTTCTAAATTATTTACGTACGTCTTTCTTTTTAGTCGCTTATATTTTTTTCGTTTTTTTGTACATTTTATTTTCTATTCTATTCAATTCTGTTTTATGTGCGTTTAAGTTTAAATGGGATGAACAAAAACAAAAAGAACAACAAATTATAGAAAAAGGCGGTCCAAAACGAACAGATATGATTTCCTACATTTTAGATTTGATGATTTTTATACTTGGTGAAAATATTTTTATGCTAGTTCTATAAATTTTAGTTTCATGAACTTAAAGATCTTTAAAATACTAAAATATTTAAAATGATTTAATTTTTATTCAAAAATTTTTTAACATAATACATATAGTATATGTATACATATAGTATATGTATGTAAAAAAGTCAGGATTACTACTTAGAAGTTAATTAGCGAAAGAAGCACTGAATTTAACTCAAATCTGTCATAAATGATGACATTTGATTTTTCAGATTCCTACTGATTAAATCGAAATAGCTTCAACAGACGTTATTTTAAAGCTATTTTTAAATATCTGATATTAATACATATATGATTACTCTCCAATTTAAATCACTTATTGGAAATCATTTAACATCACTTCCAGAGAAGTTCAAAATAAACAGTTACTACAGTTTTCGAGCTGGTAATAATGCAATTTTATTGTAATGCCACTCTATATATTTCATATAATTTGTGAAATCGATCTAGTTATTCCTATGGTCTTGTAATCATTATTATAGAATCATCTGGTACTTCCAACTAATATTACAAAACATAGATTCGTTAATGAGACATCTGTCTGCGCTCTTATCCAACAGATTAAACTGAGAATCCCTCGTCCAAACAACATTTGGAATAACTTTAATATACCATGTCAGGTTTTACGGGGGTGATGACCGGTTCAAATTCTAACTAGCGGACCTGTTACCTTAGTAAGTTAGTTGGCAGTGTCAAAGTCCACCAGTGCAGAAGTCGTGGGTTTAACTCACTCCAACTAACTAAGCAACGAAACAAAAGGTTTTATCTAATAATAGACTGGTCTATAGTCAAAACTATAGTTCGGTCTATTGTCAAAACTATAGTTCGGTCTATAGTCAAGACTATAGTTCGGTCTATAGTCCAGACTATAGTTCGGTCTATAGTCAAGACTATAGTTCGGTCTATAGTCCAGACTATAGTTCGGTCTATAGTCAAGACTATAGTCCGGTCTATAGTTAAGGCTATAGCCTTATTCCCGGCTTTAGTATTCATCCTGCTAAATTAGTCTGGTCTTTAATCAAGACTTTAGTCTGATCTATAATCAAGACTTTATTCTAATATATATTCCAGGCTATAGTCTGATCTATATTCAAGACAATAATCTGGCCTATAGTCAAGACTATAGTCTGGTCTATAATAAAGATTCGGTCTATAATCATGTCTCGCCTATAGTCGAGATTATAGTCTGATCTATATTCAGGACTACAGTCTGATTTATGGTCAAAACAGTCCGATCTATAGTCAAGACTATTCTGATCTATACTCAGGACTATAGTCTGATCCATAGTCAGGACTATAGTCTGATCTATAGTCTGATCTATAGTCAGGACTATAGTCTGATCTATAGTCAAGACTATAGTCTGATCTATAGTCAGGACTATAGTCTTATCTATAGTCAAGACTATAGTCTGATCTATAGTCAGGACTATAGTCTGATCTATAGTCAGGACTATAGTCTTATCTATAGTCAATACTATAGTCTTATCTATATTCAGGACTATAGTCTGATCTATAGTCAGGACTATAGTCTGATCTATTGTCACTATTTTTTTTTAATTCAAGCTTCACTTCCGCAACCAATCTCTTCACAATAGGTTGCCATTTTATTTTGAGCACTTCCCTACAATTTTAAACTTAACTGTCTAGAACCTTTTATAATCAAGTTTCAAGGGATACTTTACTGATGAAAGTTATACTATAATCGTGTATATGTAAGATTGTAACAACCTTGAAACCGGGCCCATTTTACCCATCCTGTTTCAGGTGATGTAGGGTGGCATAATAATGATGATTATGCTTCAACCGTGTGCCATGGTATGTGAGTGAAAATCTTTATATATATATAGGTAAAGATGTATAAAATGTATGAATAACTAAACGTTTAAATGGGTATGTGTGTGTGTGCGTTTTTGTATGTTTGTTTGAATATAAGTAATAAGACGTGTTAGAATTCAATGTGAATTTTCATAAATAAAATTGAAAATAAAAAAGAGGAATGAAAATGAGCCAGCAACAAGTGTAGAAATCGACAGTACTGCCTGCCTGCTGCTGCTGTTTTATTTTTGACATTCCATTTTGCAGCAACAAAAAAAAAAAAACAACAAGAAACAAAATTAAGGAAACTGAAATTAATAATAATAAAACAAAACTGGGGGAAAAATATGGAAAATACATAATGAATAGAAAAAATAAAGGAAAATGTATAGCAAGCCAAGGGTGACAACTCGAATACAGTTGAGACACAAGATTGAGTGACTGAATTTGAGTTGAAATTTATTTATTTCAAAAATAATAAACTTAAGCAACAAAATACTAAACTAAATAAATAAATTAAGTTTTCACAAATGTCTGACATTTAAAGAAACTTAAAAAATTTACTTGTAGAAAAATATGTTGTTAAATTTTGTTTCTTCTTTTTTTTTTAAATTATTACTTGTGCAATAAATTATATTTTATGTGGCATTAAAGTTAAAAAACAAGGTCAAAAAGTTCTTGACTTTTATAGAAAAAACATACACACACTCACACAAAATGTGGTCAATTATTTTACAATTTTTATTTTTTCCTATATTTTTTATACAATAAAAATAAATTTTAATATTAATTTTTTTTTTATTAAATTGTTGAACATTATTTGCTTTTAAGCTCAAATGTAGAATATCCATGTATTTACGTATGTAGTTTATAATATTTAAACGAATGTAAATAGCATAACTGCACTTAAACAATTGAAGTGGAATTAAGTTTCTCTAGGTTAAAAAAAATTGAAAGTTAAAACTTGTACTGCTAATTAAATATTGAAATAATGGAAAATAATATAAATGAATTATTTACTAAGAGCTAGAAAAACTTTACAAGTTTGCATTAAAAATTATAAAAAATATAAAATAAATATGAATTAAAAATACTTTCCCTTTAAATCTTTAAAAAGGGTAAATTATTTAATCAGTGAAAGTATGTCAAAAGTACTTTAAATAATGAATAAAAAAATTATAATTAAACATTTAATTTTGTGCAATATTTTAATTTAAAATAAAGCTATTATTTATTTAAAAAAATACAAATTTATATTTCAATATAAACTTATTATCACTAGTTCGAAAATAGCACTTATACATAGCTTATTTTGAACTTCTCTGGAAGTGAAATTGATGCTTAAAAACTTTATTTTTATGGACCGCTATCAACCAAATACGTGTACCAAATTTCGTCGCAGTATGTTCAAAATTTGCGACCTGTAGTTTGATAACAAGGACTTGGCATAAACGACTCAGTAAATGATTCTGAGCTGATTGGTTACATTAGAGTCATCCAACTAAAGTGGTGTGAAGTATAAATAGAACATTTGAGTATTCGAGCCCCAAAGTTTCCCAAATATTTAATAGATATCGGAGGTATCACGCCCCAAATTGCTAGTCCGTCCATTTTTTCTTAAATAATCACTTGGATGTCAAAATTTTTCCTGTAAAATTCGAAGATTATAGATCGAACAGTTTCTCAGATATACAATTCCAACTCATAGTTCGTATTATTCCATGGTGTAGAATTGAAGTACCTTGTCCCCTCTTTTCAATCATATCTCGTTGGCTCGAATGTTTATGTATTTATCCCTTAATATGTTATTAACATTAAGTTAATTATGATTTATTACGGCAATTTTGTATGCACAGAGAGAAAAACCGGTAGAAAAGTACTGAAATCGATATAATCCGTTGTCAAAAGTCAACTCACCTACCACGTTTGTTAACATTGTGTTAAAAAATGTGTATAAAATTTAAATAACACTTCGAATACGCTTTGTGTCGTTTCAGCAATGCATCGTTGTGATTTCGAAAACAAATCATTGTCATTTCGACAACGCAACTTTCTGTTTAGCATTGTCACTTTGGTAACACATTATTATTATTTTTGTTGGTTTGTAATATATTTTTGTTGTTGATTTGACAACCATGCGTACACACTTTGGCAACGGATGTTATTAAAAAATTATAAACACTTTGATATCAAATTGATACCAGGGGTGTATAATTTAAAAACGTCTTTTTTCCTTCTGTGTGGATTAAATCGAAAGTAAAGCTTACGAATATAGGAGTTAGACTTAATTTTATTGACTGATAACGCCCCTATTGTCACTTGGCTTTCGGAAAATATTTTTACGTATGTCTAGCCCATTTTACGTCTAACATGAAATTGAGCCTGCTATCTAGTACCTTAGAAGATATTAATATCACTCAAGTTAGAGTCGTCAGTTTATAAGCTGATTTCAAAAGTTGCTAGTTCTTATGTTCTACTTATCAATATCAATTTTGATCTTGTGATTTCATAAAAATGCAAATATTTAAGCATTAGACCTTGGCTCCAAGATTTTCAAACATTATTTTTATATTCGCCATTAAAAGAGATGGAAAATATTGATGGAATATCGGTCTATGATTTGTCCTAGCTTCTATGCAAAAATCCTCCTGCAACAT